TGCCGATGACACAATCCTATTTGTGGAAATCATATTCAACAAGCAAAGAATACGAAGATTCTTCTTTGTGCCTTTGAACAACTTTCAAGCTTTAAAACCAATTTCCCAACAGTGAGTTATTTTATTATGGGGAAGCCAAGAACTTCAGGACCAGTACTCGCGCACCTTTAGTTGTGGTATAGGTCAACTTCGTTTTAGATATTTAGGCATCTCAATGAATCATAAAAAAATCAATAAAAAATATTAGAAAGTTATTGAAGACCGTTTTTTTAAGAAAAAGCTAAGCAACTCTGTTTTGAGCAACCTTGCTATGTATATGATGATTTTGTTCTACCTAAGGGTATTTTGAAGAAGTTAGACATTTATAGATCGAGTTTTTTTTTCTGACAAGGGGGTAACCATAAGGGGGGAAATACTGGTTATCCAAATGTCGATTATATTTTGTGCCTCCCAAAAATATCATCAAGGAGGCTTATTAGTAGATGGTTATACAAGCTCATGAATGAAGATGGAGTTTGGCAAGAACTTCTAAGAAAAAAACTACTTGGCCGAAACAGATTGGAAGTCTGGAGATTCGCATTTTTGGCGAGGCCTTGTGAAAGGTCAAACATCATTTTTTTTTGGATCTATCAACGTTTAATCTCCATATATAGTGGACTAGTGGTACCCAAGTTAGGTTCCGAGAACACAAGCGTACTGAAAACTTTACTCTCAAAGGACATAACATCACAAGATAGAAACATTGAACAGTTACTCAGGCCTGTACGCCGAGCCCAAAGTAATCAATAATAAGCTCAAAAAGCAAAATGATCCTCCTATTCAATTTTTCTCAAGTGTCACGTACGCACCCTGTACACACCCACCATGCATGTGTCGATTTTGCCATAAATAACATCTCTAATTTCATGCATTAATTTTGAATTGAGGGGGCAGTAGTCGTTGTCTAAGGTACAGAACAACGTACTACTAGGGAGCAGTAACAAGAAGGCAGTAAGAAGTAATTACTGGGCCTTCGATCTGGCTGTGGCTTTTGCATCGCGGGATCCGATCCGCTTGCCATTTACCGGAAAGATCCAAGAGGTAGCATACACCAATACACGCAGACCTGTGATCATATCGTACGCGTTTGGATCAAGGGCAAAAAGGGCACTCCCTTTTTCCCCTTTATTACTGGGACGCCCGTGTACGTGTTCCCCCTTATTTCCTTCTAGAAGTTATTTTTTAAGTTTGATGACTAAGTTTATGCAAATATATACTATCAACTATTATATTTACTGCATGAGGATATTTGTCATGATTAATTAATCTTAAAACTTATATGAGATTATACTCTTTTTATATAGATTTAACCAGAGTTAAAGTTGTTTGACTCCTCCCGTCTTGAAAGAATGTAGGGCGATGCAAGGCATTTTTGGTCATGTGTTGGATCCTATGGTCAAAAGTTTAGCTAATTAATGTTAAGAACTAAAAGTACATACCACTTTATGTCACTTGTGTGGTCTAAAGTTTTTGTATATCAAGAACTAAATGTTGATGCCACTTTAGGTCACTCGTGTGGCCTAAAGTTTTTGTAAGATTAGCCAAATGTTAGATCTCCTGTTTGATATGCCTCGAAGAGCTAAAGTAATCTAATGTTCAGTGATTACGCTTTAGAGTTCAGACAATAGGATCTACACAGGACCTTCTCTTCATTCATGCATGCCGCCTCTTGATCTTGAGGATCGATGACGAGGATTATACATGGTGTGTGTACGTAACATGCATGCACCCAAGGGCGTGTGTACTCCGTATATACGTACGTGCTGCCCCTGCCCTAATAATAATATGCAGCCAAACTAATTAACGCTCGATCCCTGCGACCGGTGCATATGACTCACGATCAGCATCAGTGTCCGCCGTCGTGCATGGTCACGCCGGCTCACCGCTCATGCATCGCACGCACAGCACAGGGAAAGAGAGACCTAGAGAGAGAGAGAGAGAGAGAGGCATGCATTGATGCATGTTACAGCATCTCGGTCGAGTTGCTCCGTCTCTCCTGCAGCGTTGTTAGCCCAAAGAAAAGGGGCCGGCCGGGCCGTGCGGCGGGTGCGGTCCAGGCCGGGGGCCGGCCGGCAGCGTCGGCACGCGGCAGCTTGCTTGCATGGTTGCATGCGTACATACGTGCATGGTCCATGCATGCAGATGCAGCAGCCGCTAGCTGTGCCACTACGTACTGCCACCGCTAGCTAGTGCTAACTGCCTGCCGGCCCGTGCCATCGCAGGAGAAGCTCCATCCGGGGACAGTCCCTGACACGCGGGCCCCACTGCCGTAGCCGCGCGAAAAAACTGAAACTGCCGTGCACCAAAGACCAAAGTACGCACGCACCGCACTAGTATGTACAACGACAAGCATTTTCGGAGGCGTTTTTTTTAAAAAAAAAATAGAGACGGGCACGACGACGTCCGTATATAAGAAATAGTCACTGTTAATTGAACGCCCGTATGTAACAAATAGTCACTTACTCACTGTTGATCGATCATTTTTAGAAGCGGACGTTGTGCCCTCCTCTGGCAAATTAAATGGCCACGCGTGCATGCATATGTTGTGCTAGAGCCACTTTCTGGTGTAAAGCAGCTAGCAGTTAGCCATTCTATTGGTGCCATACACCTACAAATTCTTCGTCCTGGCCGGAGTTCAGAAGTTCAGAGTTCAGAGCGAGGAGGAATCCTGTAGCATGCATGCATCCGCTGCATTGTACTATACCTACACATATTTAATACTACATGCTCTCTCTACTGAGACGAACTTTTCTTTTTACCCTGAAAAAAGCATTTATAAAAACACATGCTCCTACACATCGTTATATGTGCATGCATGCATCTTCATTTACGTAGATGTAAAATGCCCTACCCTTATTTATAAAACTGCCTCCTACACATCGTTATTGTCTGCATGATGCATACGGAGAGATCCTCTTTACTGCCTGGTGTCTGTGTGAGCAATGCAACTAGATCCTAAAGGTGTTACAGCAATGCAACCAGATCCTAAAGATGTTACCGCGCGCGCACACACCACAAGAAAAAAAAAAGGTGTTACGGCTGTTCTTGTTCACACCGTCCACACGGTACGTAGACGATGAACCAATGCAAACCGACCGTGTGTGGACGGACCAGGACGAAGCCTTATCGATCTCCAACTCAAATTCAGTGCACCCACACACTCTACAAACCAAATGACCACCAGTCCACCACACGTCGAACCAGACTAAAAACCACCGTATAACATTTTAAAAAGAAGAAAATTAAAAAGAAATACTGCCGTATGCACCGTAACTATGGTAACCGCCTAATACAATCACCAATGCCTACACTAGTCTTGATAAGATCACTCGAGAAGATATGTCTATTATTTGAAGAGATTGTAAAGAGGTATCTATTCAAAAGGACACCTATTTCACAAGAACAAACAAAGCAGCCCGAAGTTTACCATATGTGGTCGCCAAACAAGCAAGCAGAACCCCCCTCTCGAACAAATCTGCCAAAACCAAGCACGTCAAAAATCCGTGAGCAGTGCGAAACGTTGGTGATTTTTTAGCAGAGCACTGAGCAGTGAGCAGTGAGCACCCACCGCCACCGCCCGCCGGCCGCCGCACTAAAAGACAAGGGTAGCATATCTGCTGTCCCCATCAGCAGAAACCCATGACCTGCCCATCTTATCCCAACTCTGTCAGCTTCTAGTTGTAGCGTACTACTACTCCAGTGCGTACCAGAGGCCAGAGGCCAGAGGCCAGAGGCAGAGGGCGTTGCAATTTGCATGGTGCACAGCGCAGACACTTGGACCCCTAACCCATCCTCCGTTTATTTGCTTTGCCTCTGCTCAGGACCGGACCGGATAACATGGATGCGATGCGAGCAGGCAGTCACGCGCTGCCTGTGCCTTGCTTGCGCTGGAGTGGACTGGATCGGAGATCCTTTTCACTGGCCAAGGCCATTCCTCCAGCCGTCTCCGCTCGTTTCTCTCGTAATTGTGCCCTGGAAATTTTCATCAGGAACCACATGCTAATTTATATAGCAATTAACACCCAGTTCTTCACAGTACTTTTCAGCGAAGGAACGGTGTTTTCCTCTCACAACATTTCAGCATCAGCATCAACTAAATTTCAGCGAAACGAACATGGCCTGAATACCTGGAATGAATCCTAGGGCTCGTTCGGTTAGCCTAGAATGATACTATATGAACCATTCTTGCTTAATCAAGCTTATACAAATTAGCTAGCCATTCCAGCTGAGAATCTTTCTAGGAAATGGTTCCCGGAGAACCCGACGAGGCCTTAGAAGTATTCTGGCAGCATCAGCAGGATCCATTTCCTAATATATGGGCATGTTCGCTAGTTGGTGTTTGGTTTGGGCTGGGTTTTGGCTAAAAATCTACATTGCTAGCTCGTGTAATCTGATTGTCTTCTGGTGTTTGAACTGATAAACATGAACTGGTGGGCTGGTGGCTAAACAGCTAGCTCGTGTAATTTGATTGTCTTCTGGTGTTTGAACTACCCAACAAGATTAAAAATCTCTTTCCAGTGTTGGCAGTTACAACACTGGAAAGAGATTTAAATCTGTGCTGTGCACCCTTTTGTCACACAACGGGGCCAAAATCATGCATGTTAAGTTCCTTCCTGTAAAATCAAACGACCAGTTGACATCTGTCTCTTCTGCACGGTACAACCACATGACAAGCTAATCCAGATTCACAGTCTGGATTTGGATTAGGATTTAGGAGTGTACCATTGTTACTACTAAGCACAACTCTTCTGATATACAACATATGATATGAACCTCCAAGGCACACAAGTAATGGTTCTGGCTCATCTGGACTACTACCACAGTATTAGTAATGTCGAGGCCCAAGAAAGGAGAGTACCTGACAGTATGAATAGGTATGTAAGCGGGCACTTGTCTGTTTGTTGTTTCTTCTTCTTTTTTTCTTCTTGGTTCTCTGTACAGCTATCTGCTATATATAAGATCTATGGGCAATAATGCCCCAAAAAACTGCCATGCGGCGCTTTTTCCTTGAGCTCGGCGGTCGGCACAAGCACCACAGCCTGGTTTCCCATGTCACTATCACTAGCGGTTCTTCCGTCTATCCCAGATGAGAGCATGTTCTCCTTCAGACTCTGCAGCCTGCACTCAAGTCCGCACATCTCATCAATCACGTCCAGGAAAGGCTGGTATTCTGAGGCCTCAGTATCCACCCAAGGAGTGGCTTCTTGCACCTCAGCACACGCCCCAGCATCCATCCAAGAAGCAGCTTGCGCTAAAGTGCTCGCTTCATTAGTTGTTGGATGGCTTATTTCTGACTGCAAACAAGGCTTGATTGTAGGTAATGTACTCTCCTGCAAACATGTTCAGACCACACGATCAACTTGATGAAATTTGATAACAGTTTTTTTGGGGTGGGAGGGTGGTGGTGCTGGTGGGGGGTGGGGATTCAAGGCCCTCGTTAAATTAGATAAGATCTATAAATGCAATCAGCATTGTGTCATTTCTACCTTGGCTTGGCCTGTTCGAAACAAGCAACCTCCTTTATTGTGCAGCCACACAGGACTGCTAGTTGATTCCATCATCCTCATCTCAAGATTTTGTTGCAATCGTGTATGCACATTGATGATTTCAGACAAGGGTACCAAGCAAGAGTTGTCTGCTGGATCAACCTTCCCCGATAATATACCAGATTTTTCTTCATTTGTTCTCGAGTTATTGCAGGGACCAGTAACATGACCATTTCTTTCAGCCTGCAGGACAGAAGAGAGATTAATAAAACACTGTATTGGATATCTATATACACAAGATCAAATGAAAAAAAGAACTTGACACTTTCCTTGAATAAATTTCCGCATGAAACCAAAATATTTCAGTGTAACAGAAAAAAAAACTTAAAATACAGTTCACTTTAGCTCGTGGCCACTTGTAATGAGGTTTTCAATGAAGTAATCAGTAAAGGTGATATTTACACTTTATAAATCAAGGAATGCACCGGCTATAAACCTTTGGGACATGGCATTATTAAAAAAAAAACTCGTCTGGTGGTGGGGGGCGGGGGGGGGGCATTGTCTTGCAATAAGAATAAACTGACAAACAACCGAAGAAAGACCCCAAACCCTGGCTTCATGACCCCTATAGGGCTGCCACAGACCTGCGATCTGCCACTACCTTTTGGGGATTGGCAGCAAGGGGGCTTTCTTTTGGCCACCAGGATTTGATCCCTGGCCGGCAACTCCCTCACCTGGGGAGCTAACCGTTGTGCTGGCATTATTATAACCAACATGAATCCTTAAGACAATAGACAACTGAGAATCAAACTCTTCTCATTTGCTCACAAACACATCAGGACATTGGTGGTTTCAGACATGGGAACAAAGTACGAATTGTCTGCTGAATCAACCTTGCCTGAGATTCCAGCTTTCCCTTTATTTCTTGAGCTTTTGCTGGGAGCCGTATTATGACTCTTCCCTTCAGCCTGAAAGATGGCACCAATGTCAACATTGTTAAGTATATAACCACAAGATATGCTGAATGAAAAGTACCAGAACTTGGTGCTAAGTGTCCTTCAATAAATTTACACACAGAATAAAAGCATATGCAATAGTCGAAGCTATAACAGTTAAATTGAAGTTTAGTTCGTGCTAATGTATGATTCTGTATATATAAAGTAACTTGTGCACTTATAGAAAACACAGATTCACTGGCATAAATGCAATGACATTGTTGGTTTTTTGAACTTCTATTATGGCCCACTGCAAATGTTCGTATAGAGAAAACAGAAGTGGTTGTTTTGGTGGGGTGGGGCAAGAATCAAAGGTAACAACTTTGAATGCAATAAAATACTATCGATTCAATGATATAATGTAGATCATATGAATAACCATGGGACAGAAATCCAAACCTTACGATCTCTGAGAGCAGCACACCGTGTATTTTTGAACCATTTATCAATCTGTAAATGGATGACAGACATTGGTTACTGATCTTAAGGCATTTTAAGAAAAAACAAATTTGTAATTAATCTATATTTCTTAGATGCTCTGCCCAAATATATTGTTAGATGGAAAGAGTGACAACTGTGATATGGACCTCACTATCTGATTTTAAAAATGAATGGCATTTATATAATCTCTTCTCACACAAGTGTAGAATTTAGTTAGGTGCCAAATGGTAATTGAACACCATAAATCAACTTTCAGGTGAATCAAAACATACAAGGACTCAGTAATGCACAGCTGACAACATTAATCCAATCCAATACTGAATACCTTTTCAAAAGAAATTCCCAACTCTCTTGAGAGATTTTCTTTGACATCACGGGGTGGAAGCTCATTTTCAGCAAAAGCTCTGCGAAGTACCTGTTATACAAGGGTGAAGAACAGAGGGTATTAATGTAAGCAAGCGTGAAGCCATGAAAACCTAAACAAGGTAAAAGTGGTAGTTCCATAGATGCAGGCACAATAAGCTAGTTTAAATCCAATTACAGCCATGAGTTGGCCTTATATCACAGCATGATAGCAAATACATATGGGCCTGTTTGGTTGGCCAGATATAGCCTGGACTGGCTCATGGGATGCAGGCTCCTTACATTTGATTGCCTGTACTTCTCCCAGGGCCTGGTGCTGCAAATCAAGGCAACCAAACAACAATGGTATGCATGGCCACAGCCTGGCCAGAGGAGGCCTGGCTGGCTAGATGCGATACAGGCTACCATAAAGGAAACCAAACAGGCCCTATATGAATCATAATATACAGCTCTAAAGTAGTCTATCATTTTTTAACTATCAATTACCTCGACAGCTGCAGGAGGAATCCTGAAAAGTTTTCTCCCCTTCTTTTGGCTCTTTTCATCAGATATAACATTTGAGAAACCCACAGAATTATCCCCAGCACCACCTGAACGTGTCCTCTTCTTTCTCCTTTCATGGCCCCAATCTTCATCCTCACTCTGTTCTTCATTTCCGATTATTTTTCCAAACATTTCCTGCACAGAATAAAAAGTAATCAACACATCATTGATGAGTGACTTTTACAAAATATTGCCAAGCAAAGTGTTTTGAGTTACAGTATTGGTAACAACAATTTGTACTGGTGAAACATACCTCATTAAGCCTTCTATAATCGACATCTCTTCTTGGCCTTTGGTAGGTAAGGATCTGTGCCAAATCATCTTCAACGGCATCAATGCCTAAGTCTAAATTGGTGTGACAAAACCCTTCCACGTCATTTAAGTCTGCTGATATGAAGTCGGGAATATCGTCATTTGGAGAATAAAGGGGGCTTCCTGAACCATTGGAATCATCAGACATAATTTCCTCCCCGCTGTCCATACAGTTGCCGCTGTCCTCAATTTCATCAGGATCATAGTCATCATCACCTGAATACTCAGAAAGCCAATCTTCATCTAGTGCATCCTCGGAGTCTATTTGTTCCGTTGCTTCCTTGAATATATCCTACAGAAAGCAAGTAGAGTTGACAGTGACAGGAATGCTGAAGTGAAAGTCATAATATGGGTGTGAGAACAACAAACACTTACTTCAAAGGGGCACTTCACTGTAAAACTTGTTCCTAGATGTGCATTAATAGTTTCTAAAATTTTCATCTTGCACAAACAGAATTTGCAAAGCCATCCATGGCTACTTGTTGGAAGTACTGATGAAAAGAACAAGACAGATAAATGTATCAATGGTAAAATAAATGCCACTGCAACATCAGAATAGAATCTGCATAGAACTATTGCAAAAGCAGGCATGTAAAGGGGTAATAATACTTCAAAGATAAGCAGTAGTTCCTATGAAATAAATGCCACTCAACTATCACAGGAGTCTACTACATATAAGACCAAAGCAAAGGCGTACCAAACAGCACCACAACATGAAAGCTATTACATAGAAAAGACTACATGAATATACAAATCAATATACAATCATGAGTTAGTGGCACTAAACTCTAGTACTGTTGAGTCTGGTACCAGGTAATCTACACTTTGCTGACTGCAGTTCCATAAATTCGCAATATCATTTATTTTTCTCCACAAGTTAATTTAGATGATTGGCACAACTATGCTAGGGTATGTGCCCATTGCCAATCAATGTTTGTATTACATATTGCAATCATGATAAGCAAACTTTTCATGATAATAATGACAGCATCAGTAACAAGTGCATTCAAACTGCAGACTATGCAGAATGTAGCTGGTTTTACATCCAGGCCATCTGGCCATGTACATCCTATGCAGTAAATGTACAGCTCAAAAATCTCAACTTGTTACACATGGGATTTTTTTAATACAGAGTTATAGAAGGAAGAAAATTAACAAAACTATAAAGTTAGGCAGCAAGAAGCAAAACTCTAAAAATAGGTTTACAGAAGAGGAACTAGGGCAGCATCCAACTATTATTACTGAGGACCCTGGTGGGTGGCGGCACATGAAATATTACTCTAAAATAAAGTGAACACAGATATTTTCAAAAGTTACCCTGAACTTAGACTGATAACTTCTTTAGTAAGGGATAAATCTAATGTAAGAAATAAGAATGTCAAGATACTGTTCATCTGTCAATGGTCAACTGGTTTCAAAATGGAAAAATCAGCCTTATAACTTTTACCAGTCAACAAACAAAATAGGCATTGTTTTGGCATACACACGTAACAATATTATTAAGTTTTCAGGGAAGAGAGGTGGGGAATTCAAAACAAATCTGTTAGGCTTTAAACTCAACAAATAACCATGTCAAACAAATATAAAGCCGCATATTTGGAAGTAAAAGAAGAAATAATTACCGCTTTTGTTCAAGGGAGGTTCCAAACATTTCTCATGATATGCCCTTTTGCAGGGCCCTTCGCAAAAGATAAATTTATTGCTGGGAAATGATTCATGAGACTTGCATGTTGAGCACATGGTCTAGCAAAATAAATATTGACAATTTATCAGTTGATAGATCCTATGAAGTAGAACATCTGGCCTTCACTTGATAACATACATACATGTTCGGGATTGGTAGAGTGATCTGGAGGCATTGCTGGATCATCAACACTCCCAGTAGAAGTATACAAACCAAGCTGGCGAATGATATCACGTATAGCAATTTTACATTTTATGATTTGTTTCCTGGCACGCTGCAGTTCCTTCTCTGGCTTTATTTTCTCCCGGCTGTTTGGAAAAGTGAACATAATTAGTGTACTTTTTACCATCATACCTTACTTTACTGTACTAACACATGAAAGCATCTGAAAAAAATGAGGAAGCAAATTATATAACAGCAACATTGTGGAACTGATTTAAGAGAAGTTATATAACCTGTTAACATGATTCTATCCAAACAATAGGCAAGAAAATCAGAGTTCTCTCACTAGCCCAGTCAATAAAACCACACAGCACTTTCATTCCATGAAATAGACTTCAATTGCATCAACCTAAATGTTCCTAGACTATGAAAAGCTACATTAATAAGTTACGAATGGCAGCAGCCAGTGGACCTGTGATATTACTATAATTAAGAAATTTTAATTTTAATTTTAAATAATTAAAAACATGTATTTGTCACATTGCCCACATACACCTATTCTTCATGGGACATCATAAATCTCATATGTAAAAGTTCCAAAAGAATAGGCGTCTTGTTGGTTACAAGCCTTAAAAGCTACAATACATTTCTCTGAACTTTTCCTCTGTTCATCCTGACAAGACAGCATTTTTCTGGTTGCAAAGTTCAAAAGAATGCATTGACTCTACAAGGATGTATATAGATTTGAAAACTTTCTTTTCACCAGCAGATTACAGCAGGGAGAGCACGGGATGCACCTTTGCCCATTCCATCCATCTCCAGAGTAAGCATCTAGCAAATTCTGCTCCAATTTTATCTTGATTAGAAAATATCTCGCTCTTCGTTCCAAGCGAGTTGCCTCGTCTGTATTTTGCATTTTTCTTTTCTTCCTCCTCCGCGCGGTTAGTCCTGTCACAATTTTCCCAGCAACAGAATCTGAACCCCTCCGCTGTTTGAGGGGACTACAATGATATTTATTCTTTATGCTTTTTGCCAGAGTAGCATTTCTAACTTTCCTTGGTGATCGCTTCAAAGGAGAATCAGATTTGCATTGGCGGGAAGCATCATGTCTAGTTGGTCTTTTTGGTACAGGAACCAACTCCATAGAGGTCTCATTCCCTTTTGATGATCTTCCCGAGTTGGAGCATACCAGTTTATTTTCCGAAGAATGCATCACTAGCAGTGGTTATTATCACAGGGGATTTATACCTAATAATACAATAAAAGATGTGTCAGAAAGGAGCAGGCAGATGGTAAGAGGTTGAACAACAAATTTAGTAGTGACAAGACTACAAATGATAAGTTGATGGCTGCAGTATGTTAAAAAAAATAAGAGCCGTATCTTGCACCGAGCTATGCTGATCTGACCTACTGTGGTACTTCTATTTCTTATAGGGGCAGGCATCTAAAAACATTTGGCCACACCGGATGCATGTACACAGAGCACTTATCAGAATGCCATATTAAGAAAACTACAGCACTAATCTATCCGTATGTGCACATCTACGGTCAATAAACTGTCAAGTACACTCCGGTTTCAGATTGTGCAGTGTGGCATTTACTCAGAGCCGTGTGGAATTAACAGTCACAAGGTGGACAGTTGAGCACGCCCTGTTTCACTGTTCGGCTCCCGCGCATACGGGGAACCAACACGCCCTGTTCCACTGTTCCGCTTCCGCGCATACCGGAACCCAAGTGCGCAATCTGAAGCACGGAGTAGCGTCCAGTGGTAACTTGGTTGGTTCCAAACAGACAGTCGAAATGTTGCCGATTAAAAGGTGAAGCAACACCTCTACATCCATTTGGGGCAGTAGATCTGGGCTCTAAAGCACAGAGGAGAGCAAAGCGAAACCCACAAGCCCAATCCCCTCCTCAGAACTAGTACACAGCAACCAAACAAACCACACTAGCAAGCTAGCGAGAAAGAGCTGGGGAGAGGAGGCGTACGAACACAATGGCGCCGGCGAGGAAGCGGGCAGACGTCGAAAGGGACCGAGGACGCGGGCCGTTTTACCACCGGCCCCCAGATGCGGGACCGAACCGTAGCCGGCCACGGCGGCGCTGGAGCCCGCCGACGGAGCTCGGGGCGGGGGACGGACGGAGCGGTAGGGCGTGAGGAGGTCGGAGGAGGCGGTGGAGGAGCAAAGCGGGGGGGCGGCGGCGGTTGCTGCTGCGACTGGCCGACCGCGAGGCGAAACGGACGCGGAGATGAAGGAAGGTGAGAGCGGAGCAGGCGGCGAAGGGGCAGGGACGGAAAGGAAGGAATGACGCGTCGTCTCGGGCACTCTGTCTGCAGTTCTGCACTGCGCGGCGCACGCCTCCTGTGGGCAGTTGACGCTAGGCGGCTAGGTGCAGAGGACGGACGGCTGGGATGGTCCTGGGCGGCTGATCGGACGGCATGGATAACCTTGGACGCTGCGATAATTATTGCTCGCCACTTCGTCGACTTGTCGGTTAAATTTTGGAAATTGGGCTACCGTAATACTTTCGTTTTTATTTGGCAATTAATGTTTATGGACTAATTAGGTTCAAAACATTCGTCTTGCAATTTCCAACCAAACTGTGCAATTAGTTTTTTTTCGTCTACATTTAATGCTCCATGCACGTATCGCAAGATTCGATGTGATGACTATTGTAGCACTTTTTGGGAAAAGTTTTTAGAACTAAACAAGGCCTCGAGGCAGGAATATAGTTTATTTATTTATTTATTTGTTTATTTTCTTTATAACAAAAATGCATTTCTTTCCCTTTCGTGACGAAATTTGAGTTCGGCACGAATGCACAGTGAAGTGACTCTAATCAAGGGACCAAGAGCTGGTCGTTGTTAACGAACATGAACATGTAAATCCTGTTGGCACCAGAATGGGGATCGACAGTGATCAATTGAGAACGAATCGAGAATTCAGATTAGTTGTACAGAGTACACAAGACTACATACCACAGTGCCACACCTTCTCAGAAACAAGTTTACAAACTCCAATGTGGACATGAGGATCCAAAGCTGAAAGCTCCTAGAGTACACAGCAATGCTCCCCTACAGAAAATCAGCTTTGCAGTGTTGCATGTTCTCTTTCTCTCTAAAACAAGTACTACTATATGAGATGTTCAACTCACGACACCAGACCACACATGGCCTCACAGAAATGGCTATACGTTCAACAATTCTCATCTTCGTTGCCAACTATCTCAGGTTCTCAATAGCCTTTTTCTTTTCTTCTCCGAGGAAATCAACATGCATCATTTCTTCGCCTTCCTACCTCTCTTGGCAGGTTGGGTTTTCCTTGCGCCCTTTTTAGGGCCCTTTCCTGCCTTAGCTTTTTTCGGTGCCTTCCCCTGCATGTCACAGGAATCGGATTAGATTCCCATCAGGTGCATTATGATGTTGCAACAAGCATTGTTCTAAGTAAATAAAGTTTCTGTAGTTACATAAGATCAACTTGTAACTTGTAAGGGCTACTATGAGAGAATAGCAACACACTAGCAGGTAGCAGCAGGGAAAGCTTAAGATAACTTGTTGGTAGCATGTTTTACAACATTTTTTTGTTATGGTTCTGTGAAATGGTTACTTCATCGAACACAGCAACAGCAAGGAAGCATAAAAAAATAAGAACAGTGCTACTGCAAACGGCTCGTGCAAATTCCCGATAAACACATCCAATACAGAATTTGCAATCACTGCAAATCCACAACACCACCTATTGGAAACTTCTGTATATAACAACTAGGATTCTAGCTATTCATAGTTGTAGGTTAGTTATTAGAGTCAAGAAAACACACCGCTGTTTTCTCTGCTTTCCTTTTGGTCTTTGCCTTAGGTTGACCTTCATCTTCATTTTTCTGATCATTTTGATTAGCCTGTGGTTCATAGAGTTTGTCACCCTCCTCGTCTGAATCAAATGTGAATCCATCAAGGGTACCTAAACAGATGATGGATCTTTAATATCAGAGAATAAAAATTGTAGCACAGGCTATCATCGTATAAATAATGGGACCATAGCTTCGTGAAAAGCCTGGTTGTTCCTCGTAGTGCAAATTAAAAAACTGAAGCTACAGCCACAAATGCCGATGCACCAAGAAATAGCTCAATCAAAGAACCATAAGAGCATGCCACTATTTACAAGTTTGCAGTATGCATGCCAGGTTTATACATTAGAGATGCTCTGGAGAAAAATTGAATTTATATTAGCCTGCACCCTGCAGTAAATGTTGGAAGTATGCACCTTCCATCATAGTCTCTGCTTCAAATAAATTGGACTGCGGTTCCAGTTGAATGAAGTCATTCATTATAGCCTCTATCTGCACAGAAATTGAGAAATTGAACACAACCAAATTAACAAGCAGAAATGGCACACTAAATGCTCGAAATTATGACGCATATAAATTGACATGGTGGAGAGCTCAAATATGCAAGCAAAATTTAGTTTATAAACCTTTGCTTCTGACTGTCCCACACTCACCTGAAAGGAAAATACATCGAGGATTAAAAACTAACACAAAACCATAAACCTCTACATGGGTTTGGAACATGACTTACAACACAAAATGTCCTCGATGGAACTATAGTTGTTTTGTATATTGTTCCTGTATGAGTTGGAGAGAAGAAATAACTACATAAGATGCTCAAGTCTTGGAATATTGCACATATCAAGATTTAAGACAAGCTGGTTTCAAAGACAAAAAAGGGCTGGTTTCAAGTCTTGGAATATTGCAAAGCTTCAGTACTGATATCTGGCCTTGGATATCCTTTGACAGATTACATCATTACAATTCAGTATCCAAAGAAGTACACAAAATGATAAATTACTTGATGGTACCTTTCAGGTCCAACAACAAATCCTGATTTCCAGTAGGACCATTTGAAACTACTATCCGCCCAACCGCACCAATATCTCCACTCAAATCTATCGAGTCACCATCACATTCAATCAATGCCTAGAAAGAAAACAAACAAACAGAACAAGGATTATAACTTGGGAAATATATTAATAAAATATAATTTTGGATATGCAGTCGGAATTTTGCAGGTATATGCTACAAGATAACAGGGAATGATAGATTCACCAAGTTATTCTCCAGAAGTCTAGTTGTTCACAGTTCCATTTAACACACAGATACACATTTAAGAAATAATAACCAAAAGTATATGGCTCTTTGGTACACTGCCGAAGCTCTTGAGATCTGGAGCTTGTTAGTTAAGTAGGCTGAGGCTTTTTCCCATTGTGTTGTTCTCGCCGTCTTTTCAATTTCTCTGTGGCACATTAATTTTTCATTTTTCTCCTTTCAGATTTCAGATTGGGTTAACAGTTGTAAGCTAATCGTTTTTCCTCTATCAACTAAGGAAATAAAATGCAGCTCTCATGACGTCATTCGTTGTTCAAGCGGGAAAAAAGGTGTGTCTATTGTGTTTTAGTCCATGCTGCAACTGTTAAATCATTGTTCTCTCAAAGGGGACATACAATGTATCGTACACAAACAAGTATTTGTGTCATGTCTCCTGATTGTACCTCTACACACTATATAACTTATTCCTTACACAGCAATGCTAAGAAGACATTTCTTCCAAAAATAAGAATATAAATATAACAAGGGGGAGATAACAGGCATGTTGATAACATTTTGTAGCAAATATAGAAATTTTAATGAGAGAGTGATCTCCATATAAGCAGTGCCTCTTAGAGTTGAGCATACCTTTGAACGTTGAACTTTATCAGGAAATATTAATGGTAACCTCTGGGAGACCTGGCATTTAGAGGAACATACACTCGATCAGAGAGCTGCAAATATATAATTGCAAATAGCTAGAGCTTCACATCCAAATTTGAAGGAGCATGTAAAAGGATAAAGTGGAGAGATGGGTGAGTTGGCATCGTACAGAGTTTCCTGTGAGTTTATCTTGCATATCATCCTCAGCATCTCCGTCTTGATGTTCAACCATGAAACAGTATCACATGTCATTCCAAATCTGAGTGATAAGTCATCAATTATCAACTGAAATGGAAGTCATAAAGTGCCTTAGTACCTGCTTGGTCTGGACCAGCTTTTGTTCCAGCAACCTTTGTTTTTTTAGTCTTAGTTTGCTGAGCATCCTTTCTCTTGGCAGTGCTAAGTGAATCCTCTTCGTGATTATCTTCACCAGCCCTTGAAGGGCTGTGTCCCGCGGAAGCATCAGAACCAGATGAAAGTGTTACCATATCCTTCTTTGGAGTCTACAAAAAATATTATGTGACAAAATTAACTACTATCAGAATAGTGAATTTAAAATATAGGACCAGTTTACAACTACTATGCCATAGTGAATTTTAAACAAAACACAACAGTTGCAATGTCTGATCATTAATATCACAATAGAAATTGAACATTAGAAAGATAAGGTCCCAAAATGTTGTCGCCAAAAACAGGTACAGATAATCTGTACAATAAAATGATGCCTGCACAGTTTCATTGATGGCCAAATTAGTAGCGCGAGCCTCTAATAGTACAGTAGATATTACATAGTGCTATGTTATCCTTTTTTAATGGATGAAGCAAAAACACAATACCAGCCTAGTAACCAAGATAGCATGAATTGGAGACAGCAAATCTAAAACACTCAAATCCATACCGAGCGTCTAGGAGTATTAGCTTGTTTTTCATCCATGGTTGATCCCTCTGCATATTTGCCAAAAGAATCAATAAGCAACCATGTGATGAATACGGCTCAAAACTTTATGGAGTCGTGCCTCAGAATCTTTATAGTACTAAAATATACAGGTACGTTAGTTCTACCTTTTCTACTGCCAACGGTTTTTCTTCTAGTAGCTGCAGAGATTTTTCTTTTATTTTGTGAAGCACCATCTCTATCACCTGCATGATCTGGACTAGTCTGCTTCTCTCCTTTGTCTTGTTCTCTAGATGTACTGGTCCTTGTAGGACTGGCTTCAGGAGAGGAATCTGACCCAGAAGAAAGCATCACTGGTGCCACACTTGGTGCCTATGCTCCCAGAAAAACAATGTTTGAATCAACGTGGTAAGTGGTAACTGCTACATAATAGACTTATCTGAAGTATTGACTTTGGAACAAAAAACAGTTCTGGAAAGCTTAAGACAGAAGCTGATGTGAAGACAACTAATAGTAGCTAATAAGTTCTGCAAGAACAAGGTGCTAGCTCCATCATAGTCAGTGGCACCAACTTAAAACTTAGAAGCTAGTACCATTATTGGCATTACTTGGTGGTATCAAGGTGGGCGACCACTGTTTAACAAAAGAGCATACGCATAGCTACAAACTTGCTTATACAAATGCACGAACAGAAAGAGCTCAAACCTACGAAGTCAGAAAGAGCAGGAACTTTCTTGAGTAGGACATGATTACATGAACCAATTTGTGGCACAGAACGAGTCCATGGGCACAAAGACACAGATCAATTGCTAGTACGACATTATTTATCGTCGTTTCCTTTACTTTAGAGTTTTAAATTCGCACATTTGAAAAGAAACGAATGGTGGAAATCCAAGGCAAGAGGTCGCATACGGGCGGGATTGTGCAAGTGGGGTGGAGATCCAAGGCAAGAGGTCGCATCTTGCATCCGGAACAGAAGATTTTGCTCCAAGAGGAATAAGAAAACTAGCTTACCCCAGCAGATGCCACGATTTAGCCATGGAGGCCAGAGCCTTGGCCTCAAGTGGAGATGGGGTAGAAGAGGGAGATGAAGCGAGATGGACCTGAAACGCGCGGAGCCAGTCAGGGTCATCTTCTTCCTCCCCCATGCTAGCTTCTCAGTTGCAACCGGATGATTTGGGTAGAGATCACGGGTGGCGGCGGCCGCTGGAGCCTGGAGCTGCGGGGGGTTCGCTGGATGGAACCGTGGAAGAGAGGGAGAGCACAGAGCAGGGGCGGGGGGGATGCAGCCCTCCTCGTGGGCCTGATTCTAAGGGAGCGACTCTTCAGCCCAGGCAGCCCCCCTCGCGAGCCTAATTCTAAGGGAGCGCCCAAAAATCTCTATCCACCCTAGCAGCAGCAGGAGTATTTGATATCGTTGAAAATGCGTATAAATATCATTAAGTCTGAATGGAAAAAATAAATCAAATAATCTATTTCTGGATAAAGCCTTCTATAGTAAAAAATCATGAGAATTGCTATAGCCATGCAATTAATATTTTTTGCTAGATTTCTAGCCTTCCGAAAGGTGTATGTCTATAAAATTTCTAGCCTTCTATAATTTAGCACCCCTCCTGACCTATTTCTATATCCGACACTGCTCCTCCGTGCAGGATATATAAGTTCGGATGCGGCAGCGGGTGAACGTCCCCCGGCTGCCAAAGTGCGAAATGAGGTTTGGACTACAAAACTTAACGGTGCAGTTAAATCCGAAAAGATGTCATTGGAGCAGCAATTTAGATAGCACAGTGCATTCTAGTTGTTGTTACAGTTTGATTTGACAACCATGCCCAAAAGGCCAAAAGCAGTAGGCATGTACAACGAGTACTGTGCTTAACCTAGACTAGACGCCCATATTAGTGAGCAAAGTGTTCCAGCCCAAAAGAAACTTCATCCATGGTCATTGTTTCTAGTTATTAGCCACTAGATCAAGCCACATCTGCAGTAGAAAAGAAATACCATGAATCAGTTAATCAAGTACTCACTTCGTTTCAAATTATATATTTTACCATGTATTTAGACATGTTATATATTAGATACATAGCAAAATAGTGTACCAAGTACTCCCTCTGCACGTGCTGCTCGCTTTTGTTTGTTTCAATCAATCGCGTGGTGTGTGGCCGGCGGCGACGGTGACAGCAGCGGCACCATCGAGCGCGGCAGTGCCGCTAGGGAGACCTCGATCTCGTGCGGTCCCAGGCCCAGGCTCGGATGGCTGCGTTCACGGCCTCCTCACGAGCAACTCCCACCGAGAAGAACTAGGCCGATGATCCTACCACGCGTTGCTCGCCGCTAATGACAGATACCTCATTTGTTTGTTCAATATGGATCGGATGCATCTGTGTCTCGGAAAAAAAAAATGCATGCATCAGCATTTCTGGGAAAAAAAAACGTGTCCCAGTTGTGCCTGCGCCTCACAGCAGCTAGCCTTGAGCTGCTCTCCGCATGTGCCTAGTGTCGCCGCCTCGCCGGCGGATCCACTATCGCCTCGATCCGCTCGGTGAGCGACTGAAACAAACAAGCGCAAGTAGCACGTGGAAATTGAACAGTGACGATCCACAAACATCTACGTGGGCTAGGGCTGGGCTTGGACAGGGCATAGGGCCGGACTCAGATTAGACCCGTGGCAAAAATATTTAAAATTAATTACTAACTGCTTTAAGACCCGTGCAAACTTTTCAAGAGGACTACCGGAGCAAAACTCAGGAAACCCAAAATTGTGTGCTCCGATGCTTGCAAATCGCTGCAGTTCAGGTAAAACAACATTGAGCTCCAAGAAGCGACAAAACAATAAATCCATCTTTGTGCTTGTATTTGGCATAACTTTTGGAGGGATTGCCATCCTATTCTTGCTAGCTTGCTTCTTTTTCTTCTTCAAGAGTACAAATTTCATGAACAAAAATAGGAGCAACAATGAGAATGCCATAGGAGGAATGCCGTCCAACCTCAATTCAGAGCAATCCTTGGTGATGGTTTCAAGAGACAAGGGAGAAACAAAATAAGCTCACATTCACTGACTTGGTGAAGGCTACATATAACTTCAGCAAGGAGAATATCATAGGCTGTGGAGGTTATCGGCTAGTCTTCAAAGCTGCACTATCTGACGGCTCCAAGGTCGCCATAAAGAAACTTAGCAGTGAAATGTGTCTGATGGATAGGGAATTCTGTGCAGAAGTTGATGCAATCTCCATGGCGCAGCATGACAATCTCGTGTCACTCTGGGGTTATTGCATCCAGGGAAATTCGAGGTTCCTCATATATTCCTACATGGAGAATGGAAGCCTGGATGATTGGCTCCACAACAGGGATGATGATGCGAGTTCATTTCTTGACTGGCCGAGGAGGCTAAAGATTGCACAAGGAGCAAGCCAGGGTTTGTCATACATCCACAGCGTGTGCAAGCCTCACATTGTTCACCGTGGCATCAAGTCCAGCAACATCCTACTGGACAAAGAATTCAAAGCCTATGTTGCGGATTTTGGGCTATCCAGATTGATCCTTCCCAACAAAACACATGTCACGACTGAGTTGGTAGGCACTCTCGGTTACATCCCCTGAGTATGGGCAAGGGTGGGTGGCTACTCTGAGAGGTGATATGTAGAGTTTTGGGGTAGTCCTGTTTGAACTGCTCACAGGCCAGCGGCCTATTCCAATCTCATTTGCATCAAAAGAACTCGTCCAGTGGATATGGGAGATGAGATCAGAAGGAAAACAGATTGAAGTTCTGGATCCAACACTACGGGGCACAGGGTATGAGGAGCAAATGCTGAAGGTGCTTGAAGCTGCTCGCCGGTGTGTCAACCGTAATCCAGCCATGAGGTCAATTAGTCGATTTAATTAAATTTAATAATTACTGCAAAGTCTGTGTACAAACTCTGAAAAAGATTATAATAATCTATGAAAAGAACGTTAGAGATGTCTCACTAATAAGAAAAAAATTACAAAACAAAATTTCTTTGAATAGAATATATTCTATTCCCCCGTTTAAATGTAGATATTCAAGCCTAGACTTTGGAATTGGAATCAAGTTTCCTCAACGCTGTCGTGGAATTGAGATTTGGCATTGGAAACCCATTTCCTTGAACTATAACGGGAAGGGGCTTGGAATTGGGGCCTCTTCCCCGTGGCTAGCGGCGCCAGCGCCCTCTTCCCCATCGTCGGCGGCCAACGCCCCTCTTCCCTGTGGTCGTCCCCTTCTTCCCCATCTTTGCCGGCTGCCGAGATCCGTCATGGCCGGTCGAGCTCCCCATTGGCGCCTCCTTCTCCCCCATGGTTGGTCAAGCTCCTCCATGGCGGCCTCACTCCCTCTCTCCCCTATGGCAGCCTCATTCCCTCCCTCCCCCACGGCGGCCTCGCTCCCTCCCTCGTCTCTCTGTATTGCTCGCCATGCCCAGGGTCGAGCTCTCCCATGGTGACCTCGCTCGCTCTCCCTGCTGTTGGCGAGCCGCCGAGGTCGAGCTCCCCCCATGGCCATGCCCCGAGATGGGACGAGCTCCTTCTGCCGTGTGAGAGAGTTTCAATTCTATTGTTTTGCATCCAAACAGGTATTCGATTTGAGCTACTTGCTAAGATTTCAAAAAGCAATTCAATGATCATCTAAACAATAATATTCGAATTGTGGCCATTTCAATACTATGACAACTTTGTATTGAAACCAATTCAATTCCAACCCCCTCAATATCTTAATCAAAACGGATCCTATGAGTTTTTTTTTCTATAGACATCACAGCCATAAAGTTATCCGCTACTTTACGTATAAAGCAAAATAACAAAGATCCTGTTGCGATGACCTCAAATATGATTTGAGAGCATGCATATCTAATTATCCATATATAGTATTCCTACTTTCGTGATAAGATGACGCCAAACTCCCATAGGACCAAGGCCACGTAGTAGCTGATAATGTTAGGGCTCGTTTAGATAACCCGTAAAGTTCTGGGGCGTCACATCGGATGTTACACGGGATATCGTATGGGACGTTCGGATACTAATAAAAAAATAAATTACAGAATCCGTCAGTAAACCACGAGACGAATTTATTAAACCTAATTAAATCATCATTAGCATATGTATACGGTAGCACTTTATTGTTAAATTATGGATTAATTAGGCTTAAAAGATTCGTCTCGTCAATTAGTCGTAAATTATGCAATTAGTTATTTTTTTAGTCTATATTTAATACTTCATGTATGTGTTCAAATATTCGATGTGACACGGTGCAACGTGTTTGGGTGGGCTAAACAAGGGCTTACTCTCATTAGGCCGGCCACGATCGTGAACAAACATACATGTCCGTCGGGTGGGCATGTTTCCAAAAAAAAAATCTAACCGGCGTCAGTCTTGGACCAGGCTCAAAGCGACCAAAAAATACCTCAGTCACGGGCAGGAGCATAATGCGGCGAATGGGCGCATTGAAGCCGGCGCCGGGATCGTATCTGACCAACCAAACCAGAACCCTTGCGCCTACCCACCCGACGGCGACGTGATAAGTAACAGGTGAGAAGAGAAGCAGCAGAAAAGAGTCCACTCCCGACTCCCGAGCAAGAGTCTGCTTGCCGGAGGCCTTTGTAATGCTTCTCCAATTTCTCTATTCTTACTTCTTCCCCAATCCTTCTTCAATTTCTCCCCAATTCTTCCTCTAACCACCTCCATTGCTCAGAGTCGTAGCGGAGCGGAGTGATCCCTCGCACTCGATCGATTGCCAGCGGAGACCGGAGGATGAGGGTTGGTGACGGAGACGGAGACGGCGGCAGCGCGCACTTCGTGTTCGCCTACTACGTCACCGGCCACGGCTCCAGGCACGCCACCCGCGCCCTAGAGGTTCGCCCCTCCCTCCCTCTCGACTCCTCCGCCCGCTTGCGGCTTACCTGCTTGGTGCGGTGGTGCCCGCGCCTGATCCCTTCCGTCCCGTTTTTTTTACCCTGCCTGCGTCCCTCCTCTATCCTCTCCCCTCGCAGGTGGTGAGGCACATGCTCGCCGCGGGGCACGACGTGCACGTGGTCACCGCCGCGCCGGAGTTCACCACCGAGATCGCCTCTTCCAGGCTCCACATCCGCAAGGTCGAGCAGGTCGTGCTCGACTGCGTCGCCGTGGAGCCCGACGCCCTCACCGTCGACCGCTCCGCCTCGCTGGAGGAGTTTTTTTTTTTTCGTTCCCTTGGTAAGGACCTACGCATCACAATAACTTCACCCCGTGCAAGGCTTGGGCAGTCCCATGTAAGTCCCAGAACCAGTGAGATCTGAGGCGGCGGTACCTTGAGACGGGATAGCAATGACAATGGTGTATCAAGCTCTTTAAGCACGCGCACTGTCGGCACAAAGTCCGCATCACCAGATATCAGCAACATACATGTTGGTGCGGGATTGTAATATGCAAAGCGGAACATATCAACCAGGATAAACTTATCAGCTGCATCTTCTCTTCTACTGAGGATATCAACATGTCTGACTCTAGTTCTTTGGAGTCCCTCCCGGATGGAAGCAGGGACAGCCCCATACGCCTGAATTGTTGGATGGAAGCAGGGACAGCCCCATACGCCTGAATTGTTGCTGAATCTACGACATGATTCATACTCAGAGCCTTTCTAATATTCTTAGATATATCTTCTACCTGTGAATCCTTGGGAACCTTGCAGTTCTCAATGTCCCAAAACACAGTCATTGGAGTGAGACGAACTTCTACAGAAGCCATTGTTTTATCCTTACCCGACAACAACAACAACATAGCCTTTCAGTCAAGCAAATTGGAGGTAGGCTAAAGTTAAAACCCACCGAGAGCCCCAAGTCACGTTGTTTTATCCTTATCTGAATACCAAAAAAAAATATAAAAGGTTCAGATCTTGAAACAAATAAACACAAGCATGAAGCATGCAGTGACATAAACATCGAAGGAAAATATTATGCAAAGAAATGTAAACACCTCAACCAAAATCATGTCATAGTTGAGATATCATTTCCTATATGCAAGATGTGGTGCCTCGGCCTCCATCCTCAAGAGCGAGTAAGTGGCTTAATCCATTGATGCCAACGTCGTCTACTAATAATAATACTATGATCATGACGCTTCGTTTATCATCTAGTCATATGTCCCTTACATTTGTTCAACTTTTTAAACGTTTCACCCATGGAGTGTAGCATTAGGTTTCGGATGTTGCTGCTACGGGCATGAAGGGAAGTGCAGAGAGTGTCGTTGTTCTTTGCTCTCCGATATGGGAGCTACTCACTGCCTAGAGAGTCTGTGCCAAATTATTGTTCTTCTCCATGCTAGACTGAAATGTGAATTCCGATAGTCGCCTGCAGTGGTGTGTGTGTCGGGAGACTCCTTCGCCAAGACCACCCTCCAAGCCGCCCATGGGAAGAAGTTTACCTACAAAGATCAACACCATCTCCACGTGCTAGGTGCTCACGTCAAAAAGGAGTAACAACAGTCCTCCTTCTCCAGATCAAAGCAAGACGTGAGACGACTTTACTGAGTATCTTTTTTAAGTACCTCTTTAACATGGATTTCATAGAGAACTATCATTTCAAGGACAAGAATTATGCATTTGTTGCACTATATGCACCAATATTTGAAAAGTACGTTGAAATTTTTTTGGAAAAAAAGAACTCATAAAATTCAAGAAAGAACATCTTTATTTCTGCAGTTTTATCCCATATCAGTGACACATAGACGTAGACAACTTAAACTAATTTGATGCATGCAATTGAGTAGCTAATGTCGTTATTCATGACATAGTTTAAATACTGGTGGATTTTTTTGAAGGAACAGGAGGGGTTTGGAACCTCTACTGAAATATATTAAAATAGATTTTGTTGCAGTTGATCAATACTACTTACTTATTGTGATAGTTTGTCCTTAAATGTTTCTTGTTGTTGTATATAGGAAATGATATCTCAACTGTGGCATGATGTTGGTTGAGGTGTTTACATTCCTGTTGCATAATATTTGCCTTTGCTGTTTATGTCACTGCATGCTTCATGCTTGTGTTTATTTGTTTCATGATCTGAACCTTTTATCTTTTTTTTGGTATTCAGGTAAGGATAAAACAATATGACTTGGGGCTTTTGGTGGGTTTCAACTCTAGTCTACCCCAACTTGCTTGGGACTGAAAGGCTATGTTGTTGTCGTCGTCAGGTAAGGATAAAACAATGGCTTCTGCAGAAGTTCGTCTCACTTCAATGGCTGTGTTTTGGGACATTGAGAACTGCAAGGTTCCCAAGGATTCACAAGTAGAAGATATATCTAAGAATATTAGAAAGGCTCTGAGTATGAATCCTGCTGTAGATTCAGCAACAATTCAGGCGTATGGGGCTGTCCCTGCTTCAATCAGGAAGGGACTCCAAAGAACTGGAGTCAGACATGTTGATATCCTCAATATAAGAAAAGATGCAGCTGATAAGCTTATCCTGGTCGATATGTTCCGCTTTGCATATGACAATCCCGCACCTATGTATGTTGCTGATATCTGGTGATGCGGACTTTGTGCCGGCAGTGCGCGTGCTTGTCGAGCGTGGGTACACCATTGTGATTGCTATCCCGTCTCAAGGTACCGCCGCCTCACATCTCACTAGTGCCGGGACTTACATGTGGGACTGGCCAAGCCTTGCACGGGGTGAAGGTATTGTGATCCGTAGGTTGATCTTGAAGACTGAAATGATCCAGCTGTTTAAATCAAATGGTGGATATATTAAACTTGGCCATATTCACTCAGAGTATGCCAAGATGTTTGGCTAACAGATCAAGTTATCAGACTACAATGCTCCTAAGCTAGATGATCTTTTCGTGATGCTGGGCGACCCTTTCTCTGTCTTTGAGAGAAAAATGGTTTTACTGGATATGCAATCTGACCAAGCCAGCACAAGTAAGTTGCTTGTTGCAAACAACACCACCGTTTAGACTCTTTTCAGTTGTCTTATGTTCTATGGTTATTTACTGCCAACTGCCACTCCACATATGTAATGGTGATACCCGTGTCTTATGTTTTCAGATGTCACAGCAGTTGGTTCTTCTGAAGTGCCGGCTTCGGTAGCCGAGGATTTATTTGTCAACACGGAGAAAGATCCTTATGTCCCTGTTGAGGATAAAGATGTTGAAGCTGTGATCGTTGGAGCCGGCAGCCAGGAAAATGAGCCAAATGAGCGGCGCATCAACAAGACTGTCTTCATCGGCAAGAACCTCAACCAAGAACTGGAGAAGGGCTTCAAGGATTGACTATTGAAGAAATAGACGGGATGGATCTCCAGTTACATGATTTTGTGCTTTGTAGCTACATGATTTTGTGCTTTGTAGCTTCTGAATATCCTCGAACGTGAGCGGGCAGCCTGAGCAACCCGGGTAGATGAGGCACAGGACAGGACACTTAACACGGCTTGTAGGAATTTGAATTCGTAATATGTTTCAGAGCTATCAAATAGGAAGTAAAGAACAAAGCAGAACCACTCAACAAAAACTGTATATGTAAATTGATGCTTTTAAGATACTATTTTAGCATTCTTATATGCTATCATTAGGCTGAAGAGAACTCCAAATTTCAGAGACTAATAGCAGTTTAGTTTCAGTAGTAGTTTGTTACATTTTACTAGACTAGAACGGGGAGCTTTTTCTAGGTGAAACATGGGATAAAGCAAAAGTGACGACTGTGTTATGACTTGTGAGATATTTGAACTAGGCATATTTCATCTGGAATTGCTAAACAAGGTATGTTGCATCAATAAATTTGCTAATAAGATATATGCAACTTTTTGCTACTTCCTTTAAGCTGTTCAGAATATAGATGCAGCAACTGCACAGTTGTCATCAAATAACTTTCCAAACCAAACCATACTCGCAAAGGGTTGCAAAACATAGATAGGGAAAAAACATTGAAAAAACTACTTTGACTAATTCTCAATTATCTTTTGGTGGTCTTCTTTTAGTTGAGTTCTTTACCTTCATAATAATAGCATCCAAATTCCAAAATATGATAACATTATCAAAAGAACTGATTGGCAAGTATAATGCTCAAACTACCAAGGAAACATCTGGTAAAAGATTAACTAGAAACAGAAATATAGAAGTTAACCAAATATTACAAAATTGTTAATACGGTTATCCTGGTCTAGTAACAAGCAAACATACATGGCATCATTTTATCACAGATAGCCTTTCAGCAGTTACAGTGAACTAGAAACATGAGCATATTGAAAACTGCTTCGACAGAAGATATTCTAGCACAAGCAATAACAAGCACAGACGCTGTCAGGCGTATAACTGACACAGCTAGTACACACTGGATCACATAGCGCTTATTTGCTTTCAGTGATGATCCAGGAAAATGGAATGAATCACGTTGTATATCATCGGGATATCTTGCAAATGTCCTCGTATTCGACAGCCCTGAGAACCTTCCCATCATAGAGGCCTTTCTCAACCTGCACTTTTGCACAGAATTTCTCAGTGTCCACTGAGAGCAACCTGGCATTTGACCCCCGATAAGCCCCATTTACTATACGCACCAGTCAGCCAATCTGAGGGATCACGGTATCAAGCTCATCTTGGTCGACCCTGAGAACATGCTTGCTCTCCAACATCTCAATCTCCCCAACATATTTATCGATAACTTTCTTCACCACCCCTTTCTGCTTGTAGTACCCCTTCTCTGCCAATGACTTGCTCATCACCTTGACCACAATCCCAGGGCACAGCCAGTAGTCCTTCCTATCGCTCCTCTCCTTGGCCTTCTCCTCCTCCTTCATCAGCTCGTCCAATGCTGACCTCCTTGCCTTTGCTGCCTTCACATCCTTTCCGTCTTCTTGGCCACCTCATCCTTCTCCTTCTCTCCGGTACCCAAGTCATCCTCTTCGTCAAAACCAAATTTCACCTTCGGCTTATCCTCAAAAGGATTAACCTTGCGGCCAAGCTCAATGACACCCTGCACTTTGACAGGACCACTTTCTTATCAGATTCCCAGCAACTGGTGCACTTCCTCAACCAGCAAGACCAATCCCACCCACCAGATTGGCGGATCAAATTCCTCACCCACTCATTTACCAACTGCTCGGTTCGCAGACGCGCCACCATTCTCAAGATTAGCAGGAACCTCGACACTACTGCTGACAGTCTTGCCAGACAGGCCTTCTCAGAAGCTGCTGCTACTTTTCAGCATGTATGCTCTTATTTGCATCAAGGTCATCAGTGCCCTCTAGCACAGGCACTGCACTCTGTAAACTTCCAGCATGTAACATTACTCTCAGCTAAATGCTGTTAATATATCCCCGTTTGTTGTAAAAAAAAAAAAAAACTTGGGACCTGGCACAGCCTTCTGAAGCGCAATTGCAATCTTCCCAGTTGCCTTGCTTGCCTCTTTCGAGCCATCCTCCCGCTCCTCCCCATCATCATCTGAACCTGAATACTCTCCTTCACTGCCGGACTCAGGCTCGTCCTCGGCAGCATCACCATCATCGGGTTTGGCTAAGGACTTGTGCGCACGCTCAATCTGGCGGGCGATCATGCGCTCCTGGCGCTCGTCCTCAGCCATGTCCGGCTTGATCCTCTTGCGCTTGAGGCGGTCCTTGACGGCCTGCTCCGAGTCACGGTCGATGTAGGTCATGAACCACCCCTTGGGCGTGTCCTCGAACTTGCAGTACCCCTCGCGCCCGAGGAACTTGACGAACTCGGTGAGCGTGGCCCAGCGCGTGGAGTTCATGTGGACGTGGTGCCCGTCGGCGATGTACTCGTTCTAGACGACGGTGGCGGCGACGCGGGAGTGGCGGTGCGCGCGGCGGATGAGGGAGAGGAAGGACTCGAGGAACTCCTCGGAGAAGCCCTCGACGACGCGGTCGGGCGCCATGCTGAACACCTGCATCTGCCGCTGGTGCGACTCCGACATGCAGTGGCACTTGAACCCGTTCTCGTCGCGGCACTGCTTCTGGCACATCTGGCAGTACCACCGCAGCTTCTGCAGCCCCTTCGCCTTGATCCGGTTCGCGATCGCCTTCGGCGTCGGGAACTCATGCTTCCCCATCGCGCGGGAGATGCCAGTGACTTAGTAATCGGAGCTCGTCTAGCACTCAATGATACAGGATTTATACCAGTCCAGACAACGTGCTCTACGTCCAGTTTGGGTCGGTCGGTGACTTTATTCCTTAGCCCAGGTGCTTGAAGTCTGCAGTGGGGTTACAAACGAGAAGGAGAAAAATGAGGTACCAGAAGCCCGATCGGCTCCGGTCGGAAGGGCCGAGAGCGACAGAAACTCCGCTATGAGTTAAGTGTTTAGGCGTGTGCTTGAAGTTCGAACCTGGCGGTTCTATGGTTATGAGTTATTGGACTAATGAATCTAAAGGAACTGAGTTTGAATGGAATCGTTTCTCCTGTTGGAGGGAGTGCATCCCCTTTTATAGATGAAGAGGATGGCTTTACAGGTGAGAGGGAGAGGGTACGGATGCTTTTAAGCCTTGTTGCCCACGTCGATGAGGATTGGATAATGGTAGGCGCCCACAACATTATTGATGTCACTGTAGAATGTCAGATGTACGTAGGAGGTTGCGTTGTCTTCTTCAGGAATGGTTGACGTCAGTACCTGCAAAATATTGCTGGATGCCTAGAGGCATGTGAGGAGTCTCACCACATTTACCGGGTATGGTGAATCCCGGCGCCTACAAGACTATTGATGCCCAGAGGCATGTGAGGGGCTTTTTGCCGTACGGGACTCCAACGGCGCCTACAATACTGTAGGGATAAATGTTGGCGCCTACAATACTGTTTGTGTCAGGGTGGTTGTGGCATACTGTTCCCGCAGATGTACAGGATATGATCCCTGTACCGTGGTTTGACTCGCGTGCTGCTTTCTCCGTTCGTCCCTGGTCCCTTCCGAGCGGGCGTCCCTGGTCGGATGGCCCTAGTCGGCTTTGGTTGCGCTGATCGGAGAAGAGCGGCGAGCAGGGTTCTTACATACCCCGGTCGGAGAGACGCGGGGTCGGAGTCGGAAGTAGGGCTCGGGGCAGGCCTTCCGATCGGAGAGGCCATCCGGAGACGGCTGGAGCCCGAATCGAGCGCTCCGGTCGGATAGGTAGGCCGAAGTAGCTGACGAGCGGGCGTTGCTCTTCTTGGGCCAGGCCTTCCGGTCGGTTGGTGGACCGTCCCTTTACCCTGTTGTTTTTAAACTCTTGTATCGAGCCTTGGTATGGAAGCCGGTCCACGAGAGACCCCGAGTTTATGAACCCGACAACGTTAGCCCGGAGACGGACGCGAGGCAACGAGGAGTAGATTTTTTTTTTATGATAGAGAGCGGCGGTGGCGGCCGGAGAGGGTGGCGGCCTGAACGGATTGGGGATCGAGTGGATTTGGCAGATTGGGGCGAGGGCTTTGTTTGGACTTTGGAGAAGTCGGTTGCCTGTACCACAAATGAACGGTCCGGACCGCAGCTATGACAAATCAACGTACGAGATCTTGCCACCGAGATTTTTCAATCCACCACATGTGAACTTGTGAAGGGCCTCTCCCGCTAGCTAGACATCGTTCATTTGTCCCCTTCCTCCCCCAATCTCGCATCGTCCACCAGAGCAAACCCTACCAGTTCACCCCCGCGCCGCCGCCGCCGCCGCCATGGACTCGATCGACGCGGATCTCGCGCGCACGCAGGAGGAGCGCCGCAAGATGGAGGAGGCGCTGGCTGCCGGCGCGCCCATGGCCGTGTCCTCCGTCACCTTCGACACCGACCTCTACGGCGGCGGGGGCGCCGACCCGAACCGCTTCGCGGGCTACGACACCTCCATCCCGGCCTCCGAGGACGACGCCGCGGAGGACGACACGGAGGCCGCCAACCCCGCGCCGCGCCGCCTCGCGGCCTACACGGGACACGCCATCGCCGCCGCCGACATCCCGCGGTCGGCCGACGACGACGACGGGCTGCCCAAGAGGTCCCAGCGCATCATCGACCGCGAGGACGACTACCGACGCCGCCGCCTCAACCAGATCATCTCGCCGGAGCGCCATGACCCGTTCGCCGCCGGGGAGGCCACCCCGGACCCATCGGTGCGGACCTACGCCGACGTCATGCGCGACGCGGCGCTGCAGAAGAAGAAGGAGGACCTGCTGAGGGAGATTGCCAAGAAGAAGAAGGAAGAGGAGGAGAAGGAGAAGGAGAGGAAGGCTGCTGCGCCAGAGCAGCCGGCTGCCACGACGAAGCGGCGCAACAGGTGGGATCAGTCGCAGGATGGTGATGCTGCTGCCGGTGCCAAGAAGGCAAAGACATCCTCGGACTGGGATGCCCCTGATGCAACTCCTGGGATTGGGCGTTGGGATGCCACCCCTGGACGTGTTGGAGATGCCACACCCTCGGTGAGAAGGAACAGATGGGATGAGACACCGACTCCAGGGAGGATGGCTGATGCTGATGCGACGCCTGCAGCTGGTGGTGCCACCCCTGGGGCTACTCCTTCTGGTGCTTGGGATGCGACTCCAAAGCTGCCTGGTGGTGTCACGCCAACCCCTGGTAAGAAGCAGAGATCAAGGTGGGATGAGACACCAGCGAGTATGGGAAGTGCAACCCCTGGTGGTCTCGGTGCTGCAACACCTGCTGGTTATACTCCTGGTCCGACGCCATTTGGTGCAGAGAACCTTTCCACACCAACTCCTAGCCAGATTGCTCGTGGACCGATTACTCCAGAGCAGTACCAGCTCATGCGGTGGGAGCGGGACATTGAGGAGAGGAACAGGCCTCTCACCGACGAGGAGCTAGATGCCATGTTCCCGCAGGAGGGGTACAAGATTCTTGAGCCTCCGGCTTCCTACCAGCCCATCAGGACCCCGGCAAGGAAGCTCCTTGCGACACCAACACCGCTGGGGACACCACTTTATGCTATTCCAGAGGAGAATCGTGGGCAGCATTTTGATGTGCCCAAGGAGCTGCCTGGTGGATTACCGCTGATGAAGCCAGAGGATTACCAGTACTTTGGAACTTTACTGAATGAGGAAGAGGAGGAGCAGCTATCGCCTGAGGAGCAGAAGGAGAGGAAAATCATGAAACTGCTACTCAAAGTGAAGAATGGCACACCCCCACAGCGTAAAACAGCACTTCGACAACTGACAGACAAAGCCCGGGAATTCGGTGCTGGACCACTGTTCAACAAAATCCTGCCCTTACTCATGCAGCCAACACTGGAGGACCAGGAGAGGCATCTTCTGGTGAAGGTTATTGATAGGGTACTGTATAAGTTGGATGAGCTGGTCCGTCCTTTTGTGCACAAGATTCTTGTGGTTATTGAGCCACTGTTGATTGATGAGGACTACTATGCTCGTGTTGAAGGCAGGGAGATCATCTCAAATCTTAGCAAAGCAGCTGGGCTTGCTACTATGATTGCTGCCATGCGACCGGACATTGATAACATTGATGAGTATGTCAGAAACACGACTGCTAGGGCGTTCAGTGTGGTGGCTTCTGCTTTGGGCATCCCTGCGCTTTTGCCATTCTTGAAGGCTGTCTGTCAGAGTAAGAAATCGTGGCAGGCTAGGCACACTGGTATCAAAATTGTTCAGCAGATTGCTATTCTCATGGGCTGTGCTGTTTTGCCACATCTCAAGTCACTAGTTGAGATCATTGAGCATGGTTTGAGCGATGAAAACCAGAAAGTCCGGACAATTACTGCCCTCTCTCTCGCTGCACTTGCTGAGGCTGCTGCACCATATGGTATAGAAAGTTTTGATACTGTATTAAAACCTTTATGGAAGGGTATCAGATCTCACCGCGGGAAGGTCCTTGCTGCCTTCCTGAAGGCCATTGGTTTCATCATCCCTCTTATGGATGCTCTGTATGCTAGTTACTACACAAAGGAGGTGATGCAGGTCCTCATTAGGGAGTTTCAGTCTCCAGATGAAGAAATGAAGAAGATTGTCCTCAAGGTTGTGAAACAGTGTGTCAGTACAGAGGGTGTGGAGGCTGATTATATCCGGAATGACATCCTTCCAGATTTCTTCAAGCACTTCTGGGTGAGGAGAATGGCTCTAGATCGGAGGAACTATAAGCAGCTTGTGGAAACTACAGTGGAGATGGCAAACAAGGTTGGAGTTGCTGATATAGTTGGGAGGATTGTTGAGGATCTGAAAGATGAAAGCGAGCCCTACAGAAGAATGGTGATGGAAACAATTGAGAAGGTGGTGGCCAACTTGGGTGCTTCAGATATTGATGCTCGTCTGGAGGAGCTGCTTATTGATGGTATCTTGTATGCTTTCCAAGAACAGACTAGTGATGATGCAAATGTTATGCTTAATGGTTTTGGAGCTGTGGTTAATGCACTTGGACAGAGAGTTAAGCCATACCTTCCTCAGATTTGTGGTACCATCAAGTGGCGACTGAACAACAAGAGTGCAAAAGTTAGGCAGCAAGCTGCTGATCTGATCTCCAGGATAGCCATTGTCATGAAGCAGTGCCAGGAGGAGCAGCTTATGGGTCACTTGGGTGTTGTGCTGTATGAGTACTTAGGGGAGGAGTATCCTGAGGTGCTGGGTTCAATTCTTGGAGCCTTGAAGGCTATCGTCAATGTCATTGGTATGACTAAAATGACTCCTCCAATCAAGGATCTTCTTCCTCGTCTGACCCCCATCTTGAAGAACAGGCATGAGAAGGTCCAGGAGAACTGCATTGATCTTGTTGGTAGGATTGCTGATCGTGGAGCAGAATTTGTGCCAGCAAGGGAATGGATGAGGATTTGTTTTGAGCTGCTAGAAATGTTGAAGGCTCATAAGAAGGGTATTAGGAGAGCCACTGTGAACACATTTGGTTATATTGCAAAGGCTATAGGGCCACAGGATGTGTTAGCCACCCTGTTGAATAACTTGAAGGTGCAGGAGCGACAGAACCGTGTCTGCACAACTGTAGCGATTGCCATAGTTGCTGAAACTTGCTCACCTTTCACAGTTTTGCCTGCCCTTATGAATGAGTACCGGGTCCCAGAGCTCAATGTCCAAAATGGTGTTCTGAAGTCACTCTCTTTCCTCTTTGAGTATATTGGTGAGATGGGCAAAGATTACATATATGCTGTCACTCCCTTGCTTGAAGATGCTTTAATGGATAGGGATCTGGTTCACCGGCAGACTGCTGCCTCTGCTGTTAAGCACATGGCTCTAGGCGTTGCTGGCCTGGGTTGTGAGGATGCTCTTGTCCATCTGCTTAACTATGTTTGGCCCAACATATTTGAGACATCTCCCCACGTTATAAATGCTGTCATGGAAGCAATTGAGGGAATGAGGGTCGCACTAGGTGCAGCTGTGATTTTGAATTATTGCCTGCAAGGTCTCTTCCATCCAGCAAGGAAAGTGCGTGAAGTTTATTGGAAGATTTACAACTCTCTGTACATTGGTGCACAGGATGCGCTTGTTGCTTCTTATCCTGCCCTGGATGATGATGGGGATAACATCTTCAGCCGTCCAGAGCTGGCAATGTTCGTCTGATTAACGTGAGTCTTGCTCACTCCCAAATTTGTGTACAATGATTTAAAACTGCTTTCAGTCTATTTTCTGTATCCTTAAATCATGCAGCTTAATACCTGCGTAATTGACTTTTGTATTATAGTAACAAACCTCATGGTATTTTTTAGTTTACTGATATGCTTTAAGTGTTTTCTTATTCTTCAATGAACTTTGATGATTAATAAAAACGTTAGGCATGTGGATTTGCAGATTGTAGAGGAAACAATAGTTGTGGTTTTGAAATAAATGTTTATGGTTACATATGACATTGGACATAAGGAATTGTGGATCAGAAATAGAAAAAAACAATTCTGGTTGTAAAGTAAAAGGAGGTTTCATTGCTCTGGTAATAAGGACTTATGGATCAGACACAGAAACATATTCTTTGTACCATAGAAATCTTAATTATCTATGACCAGTGCACGTTCAAATGATGATGGCATGTATCCTCAACAACTAACATCAACTTTGGAACTACTAGACATCGATAATGTTTCAGCTAGCTGTAATGAAGCATAAAAAATTTGTAGTTGTTCCGATGCACTGCATGGTTATTTGAGACAAGTGCAGAGATATTATAAATTAGAGAATGAAAAAAAATGATAAGATTATACCCATATGTTCTATTCTAAGTATGGGGGCACATACAAGTTCAATGTTAACTGAACAATGCCTAGGAACTGACAAAAAGCTGATAAAACTGTTGCCATCTATTCTATTCTAAGTATGGCCGTATGGGAGCACACACAAATTCAGTTATAATTGAACAATGTTTGGGAACTGAAAAAAGCTGGACTATATCAGGTTTCTTTTTTTTGAACTTGACTATATCAGGTTTCTTAGTAGCTAATGCATGACGTGCGCATATAAGAGATAACACCATGCTTAAATATTACAGAAGTTGCGTTTACACACGCAACAAACAGATGCAGTCTAGACCAGGGTTTCGAGATAAGAATTTTCTCTGGTGTATATATATCAAGTTCTGTGTAAGATAATCTGCTGCTTGCTCTAGATATTTTGCTGAAAGCAGAGATTAGGCAATAGGTCAACTGTGCTGGTCTTCCTATGTACTATGGTGGCGTTTGGTTCATGGGAAATGAGAGCTGGGATAGGGATATGAAGAGTTGGATAGATTTGAACCCGTGTTTGGATAGTGGGATAGGGAAATAAACATGGATTGGGATAGGGAAATGAGGATGCTCTATCCCAGTGTTCTTAACCCAACGGGAGGGCTGGGTTTGGACGTGAAATGGCGTCTGTGCGCGCGGCATGCCGGGCAGCAGAGCGCTTCGCCCCCGCACACATCGCGCGGCCGTTGGATGTCTCGGACCGAGCCCGCGGTGGACGCTGGAGCCAAGCACGCCGCACTAGTAGCCGGAGATCTACTGCACGATTGAGCACTAACCTCGCGTCCTCGTGGTCGCCCTCTCCGGCGGGATGAAAGAGCGCTACCGACACCCTAGGGCGCCGGAGCTGTGTGTGCAGCTGCTCACGCCGCCACGAAGCGCTGGCTTTGGGTTGACAGGCTCGCGCCTTGTGCGCCGCAATGTGCCGCGCCCGTCACCCGAGCCGCCGCTAGCCTCGCTGCTGCCGATGAGCCGATCCGCCCATGCCTCACACATGCTGCCTGCAGAGAGCTGCGCTCGCTGGAGTTGTGCTATACTGCTATCCCACGCACAGACGCGCGGATTGCCGGAGCCACCAAGCTTGGTCAAGCCTACGGTTGGATGGGGATGAGAAGACTCTGGTGGCTGGATTGAATGGACGAGGAGAGGAGTACAGGCGTGTGTGCTTTTTTTTATCTCGTGGGACCCACCTAAATTTAATCCCAAAGCCAGCTGCTCCCTAACAAAGGAAAAGGATAAAATTCATATATCCCTAACCCAAACCCACCTCTTCTATATCCAATACATATCCCTATCCCTAACCTGATGGCTATCCATACGTCACATATAGGAGTATGGCTACAGTGCCAAGTAATGGCTGATGTATGGCCAGTGCTGATTATCTTTTGTCTACACCGACTGAACTTGTCGACATGTAGTATGTGCATGGTCAGATTACGGACATAAATGTGTTCTCGGTTAAACTGAAATAGATTAGAATATATCAATTTCAGTATTGTTTCCCCATTTTATATACATTTTAGTGCATAGTTAAAATAAGTAACCTGTTCTTCCGGTCATGCATAGTATGCATCCTGTATGGTTCATTTCAGCTTTCTGGCATGAGTTGTGTGCATATTAGCATTATCTATTGCTACAACTAAATATGCTTCGATTACTAGTATTAGGTACGGAGTCTGCTGGTAGCAGTAGGAATACTAGTGGAATCTAACTTCTCTTTTCAGAGTTTTAGATAGCGCAGAATGTTGGAAACCGGCTGGCCTGAACAGGTGAGCAGCAGCTCACACACAAGCACGCACACACTGGTTTGGGCTAGAGGTAGAAGAGAGAGGGAGCTGAGAACAGAGTACACTCACGCACAGCAAGTGCAAAAGCTGAACTGAACTGCTCTTCAGTTTCATTGCATAGAATATACACATCTCTAGACTTGGTGAGAGAAACACCAACTACTGGTACAGTTAGTACACCTACTCCTGTGGCCAATTCAGCAGCCTTGGTTAGAGAAATACAAGTGAAAAGCAATATGCTTGTATATTACTTGGACAACAATGTAGATTCCATTGGGCATCGTTGTCAACAATAGAATGTGCTAGTACTGGTGCCCTGCTATTGCGTGCTTGCACCTTACAGCATAGCCAGCACTACAGAAGAACTACTTTGGGTCCTCAGTGAGTGATCTCATAATGCATCTCGAAGCAACACACTTCCCTGCTGAAGTCGAGGCCTCTTTTGCCCTCTCTCAATATTTATATGTAGCGATAAAGGCATGTATGATAAACAAAGCATTGTGGTTTGAATAATAGAATTATATTGTTATGCTAAATGAATCAAATGCATGGTGTAGGTATGTAGTCCAGTAACCTTTGAAAAATAGAATTATATTGTTATGCTAAAAATCAAATGCATGGTGTAGGTATGTAGTCCAGTAACCAATTAATCAGACTAAAGTGCCATCTACCTGAACACCCTCTTGGAACTTTTTTTTTTTTTTGTTTTTTTTTGTTTTTTTGTTTGTAAAAGCACTAGCACAAATAAGAAAGAAGCATAAATACAAGCTGATCTCCAGTAATATCAATATCTGTAATTTTGTCATCATTTTAAAATTAATTCATCATGTTTTCTTAAAGTAAACGCCAATCTCTGATCCAGATTCTAAATGATATTTTGACATTGATCAAGATATCTTCGAAATTCTTTCTATAATCTCCAAACCTTGTTTTTTTTCCCCTAAAATCATTATAATTTCAATTTAAGATGGTCTGAAAGTGGAATCAGGAATAGTAGGGTAGTTTTCCGCCATTTGATTTATGGTTTCTGATAGTGTCCACAATTTAGTACTTTCTGTTTTTAACAAATTGTGCTCGGAATAATAGTTGAATCCGGAATAGCAGCACAGGCACTTAGAGCATAAATAGAGGTACAAATAGTTGCATTTGGAATAATCCACACAAAGAAAAGAAAAAGACAGCTGCTGGAGACTAAATAAGACCCAGAACTCCTTGGGCCATACAAGAGGGAGCGAGGGAGGGAGATAGCAATTTTTGGCCCAGCTATTCGTAAGGCGTGTCATTCATTTTCCTTTGGACTAACGTCAATGCTATCTAGATATTTGCATCACATACACACTTGCGGCGCTTGACTGTTGTCAGCAAGTTGGGCACTTGTTACCATAAGAGCATGCATTATCAAGTACTAGTTCATCTGTATAATGTTTATTTTTGGTTTTGTTTTTCCTGTTTGTTCTTTCTGCGAAGGAAGAATCTGATATGTAAATGCATTGACAGGCTGGATGCACATGTCCATGTATCTTCATCCATATTCTTGTGAAGCTTGAACTGGGTGGTATTTGAGTTAGAGCTTTGAATTTAAGTTACTTGGTGGCCCTCATGTGATGCATGTGATTGAAGTAGCATCTGTTTTTGTATTTGCAGGATTGTTCCTTCTGAAGGGGGTGCAATGTTTAGGGATTTTTTTTCTGGTTTACTGTAATGCAACTCTAAATTACAATTACTATCATAATCCGATCTACTAACCATTTAGGAATTGTTTTGTTTTCAGGATACTTTGTGTTCAAGCTGCTGAAGAGTTGCACCAGATCTAGGACCAGACGCAAGGCTGCAGTGTTTAGTTTACTGCCAAGTACCTGTTGGTTAATCATGATCCTATATTTTGAAGGAGAAATGACAATCCTAGTGTGATGTCATTTTTTTATGAGTATTAGACTTTGGGCAGTTCTTAAACTTTGTATTAGCCGTGGATGTTATAATGTGGTGTGGAGTGTGCACAATGGAGATTGCAAGCTGCTCTGTGATTCCTCCTGTATTCATGAGGGCTCGCACATGTGTCTATTCTAATAACCGGAAAAGTTACTTGACATGTATGGTTTCCTATTCCTGAGTTGTTGCTTATTTCTGACACCTCTTGTATGAGAAGGGTTACTCCCTTCCTTCAGCAGATTAGCACCTCTCTGAGCTCGTCAATTTTGTTGCAATTTTGCCTGCTTTTACAATATCTGATTGTTTCAGTACAAAATTGAATTGGGGGTGAGAATTATGTCCCGTTTGACATAGCTTTTTCAATAGTTTTAGGAGCTCTTTAAAATCTGGGTGGGTGCGAGTGTTTGAGGTGGGGGTGAGTGTTTGATGAATCTGAAAATGTGAGAAGCTATTTTATCGAAAAAAAAGAGAAAATCTAAATAGCTTTACTTTCATTAGTAGAACTGCTCGTGCATGGAGCTGAAGTTTAAAAACGGCTCCAATCCGACAGACAACAAGAGTATGTAATGTGCATATAACAAACTAGTATACCTGTTCGTTTGGCTGATAAAATCTTGACTGATTTATGTGAGAGAAAAATACTGTTTGCTGACTGAAAAAGTATGGCTTATAAGCCAAGCGAACAGGGCAATAGTAAACAAAACCTATTGTCCTGTTCGCTTGTTTTATAAGCCGTATTTTTTCATCCAACGAACAATATTTTTCTCTCACAACAAATCAGCCAACAATACTTTCAGCCATGCGTCAAGTGAACAAGGCAATATATCTCTACTTAGTACCCTGTTTTGGCTTTTTTAGATAAAATTATTTTTATGGACCTTATCAGCCAAGCGAACAAGGCAATATATCTCTACTCAGGCGCAAAAAGCTCTGCCCGCACGGAGCGGGGAGACTCGGAGGCTGATTCGTGCGAGTGATGATCAAATTCAGGCTGCTTCAACGTGTGGAATGCAGCTAAAATCGGGAGACAAGTATTGCATTACTAGATTCACTGGATATTGAGCTACAGTCGTAAGGGCCGATCCCTAGTGCAGTCGGGTTGTTGGCTTCTACATGCAGTAAAAATGGGGTTCGCTCTCCCTTGCACCAAAATGCGGTTAAACATGAGCCTTAGTGTCTAATAACTATTCAGTTGACAGGAATGTAAAGAATAGGCTTAGGGACTCCTTTTCAGATTAATTGGGATTCTGCGATGTCCAAAACCGCATGTACTCCTTAGTCGCTAATCTATTAGTTCTCTTCTGGGGTATATGCTCACTATGTAGCTTATACTCGACAAATGCTCTTATCTGTGCTTCTAGCAAGACAAATAAAAAAGGAAAGGCATAACAATGATGTATTGTGTGTGCTACAGGCCAGGCGCTTCATCAGGCATACTTCTTGGAGCCACTACTCTGCCCAGCGTCATGCTTTCTCGGTTAATTCAACTGTCGAGGCTCTTACCAACTGATCCTAATGGACCTAAAGGTGTGTTTCGATTTTGCTGTCTCGATCATGTTGGCTATTAAATGAAGATCTGCCTCAGTTCCACATTCAAATTTAACAACTCAAAGGGTTTCTAAGTTGTATTTGTTGTCTATTCAGTTGCCATGGACACAATTTGCTAATTACATTGTGTTTCCATTTCCAGAATTTGCATACCTGGAAATGCAGTACTGGGCAACATCAATCAGCTGTCTCAGTCTGCTAGCTTTATTCCTTTGGCATCTACGGAAGTCTCCCAGCAATGGAATTTCTAAACGTTTGGAGTACGGCTCATTGTTGATAGTTTTATATCTCATGACATTCTTTTTGTCCTTTCTACTGAAGACTGACGGAGGTAACACGCATGTGTAATCCACATTTAAATGTAATTTAGGTTCAGCATACTGCATACCAAGGAAGTTCTCAAACTGACCTACGTGCTGGATTTATTGTAGGCCTGATGGTAATGACCGATATGGTGTATATGCTCTGTCATGGAGTGGCTGCTGTGATCTTAATCAAGCATATTCTAGAGAAGTTTCCCTCATGCGCATCTTTTGGTTTGTAACTAAAGTCTAAGATGTAACTAGGTCTTCATTTCTCTTCTTTTTCATCATGTCTAGTTTCATATGCTAGTAGAAATTCATACCTTAATATATCTTGTATACAAGTCTAGTAATCACTTGTGGTCCTCTGTTGTTTCTGTATTGTATCAGTGTATTTTTCGATTACCTTGACTTGGACTTATTTCGTTTTTCACCCTCATTTATTTACACTTTTGCATATTTCAGGGGAGGCGCTTCTGGTGTCAGGTGGTCTTGTTCTCTACTTTGGTGATATGTTGGCACATACACTTTCAAAGGTATGATTTATTCTACCAGGGTACCAGCTAGTGGCAAAGATGATTATTTATTTACTTAATTATTTTGCCTTGCATTTGTGATGGCAGATGGAGTTCTCCATGTCATCAAAAGCATTCATTCACACACCTGGAACTAGAAGCGATATGACCGCAATTATTCAGGTAGGGTTGCTTTTGGTTGTGTGGCATGAGTTTCATTGCACATTTATGCTTACTCGCTTTCATTTTGGCAGGGGTTTTTACTTGGCCTTTTTCTACTTCCGTTACTATACAAGAGTTTTCTTCAAGTTTGGGATTGCTGTAGAATGGAGGGAAAGCAACAAACACAGGCAGCTGAGGAACATACACGAAAAAGAATTGGTTCTGCCTTATTCTATATCTCGTTGGTGGTGGTGTTAATGTTTTTACTGCCATCATGGACACACCTTGTCCAAGGCCTCAAAGTGCATCCTTTTGTTTGGTAAGCATCGCAGTTCACCCTTTCACGAGAAGAGCCTAGAAGGCATGCACACGACCATGCGCCTGTTAGTCAATGCACATCATTTAATTTGACACCCTTAAATTGAATACCCCTTCTGTTCTTAAATATAGTAATTGTTTGGTTATTGGGATTCCTCATTTCAAAATATATTGTCTACACCCTCTGTCCCAAAAACAACATAGTTCCAGCTATGGACCTGGACAAGTGTTTGTCCAGGTCCGTAGCTCTAACTGCAGTCTTTTTGGGACGGAGGGAGTATGATATAACTGATAGCAAAGTCATTCTGTTCATCTTCTATCTGCACTATTAATGTTCAGTGGTTGATAGACATAATTTAACAGGGACTCCTTGGTCTATGTGAATAGGCTAGCTGGAGAACATTTTTGGAATGGACTATTTACAATTTGTGAGATGTTGTTGCTTGTAAAATCTTTTGAGATGTTGACTTATGTTTGCTTAATGCTTCATTGTTTCACAGGATTATTAACTATATGTTCACTGATTCACATGAACGACTTGCTTTATGTGCATACTGGATATGTGTAATATATGTATCAGTTAGAAGGTTCTACAGTATATCAAAGCAAAGCAAGACAGAGAGGATTCTTTTGCGCAAGTATTATCATCTTGTCGCTGTTCTCATTTTCTCTTCTGCAGTTATATTTTAGGTGGTTTGTGCGTATTTAGGTTTGATTTTCATCAGTCCTAAAACAAGGTTCAATTTCCATCAGAATATTAAGTATTTTGGTCTGGAAAATTGTTTGTATTTTGCAGCCTGCTTTCTTGGACTTGGCATTTGGTGCAGCATTTGCAGTCTTCTTGATATTGGAGATGATACGAGTAAGAGACCTATTCTTCTGTCTTCCCAAGTTATTTTCACTCATTTAATTTGAGTAACCTGTCCCTCATTTGCCCCAAAATGTTTAACCATGCCTCGGATTTGGGAAATATACCCTCTTGGGCATGTTGTGCATCAGTTTATGAACGCCTTTACCGATCATCGTGATTCTGAGATTCTTATTGTCAGGTAGGTGTGCTTTAATAGGCTTCATTTTCCTCATTTCATATCTTACCTCTTGTCACGTTCTGTGGTTGAAAACCTTATATTATTGGTGTGTTCAGCCATTTTTCACTCTTACTGGGCTGCGCACTTCCCAAATGGATGTCATCTGGATTAAATGATCGACCACTTGCCCCTTTTGCTGGAATTCTCAGCTTGGGGATAGGTGATACCATGGTAAGTTCTGTGTCTAATCTGTGTGATCCGTTGATTACTATCTTTGATTTGACCCATATGATGGATTCTCTTTGTTTTCTTTTACCTAGGCATCAATGATAGGGTACAAAGTCTGGCGTGTTAAGATGGAGCAAGACAGGAAGTGAGTCCAGTTTCTTATGTGTTATGTCCTTCCACTCTTTGTTCTCTGAACTCTTATGCTTTGGTCTTCTCTGAAATGTTAGAGAAAACAATTGAAGGCACGGCAGCGGGCATAACTTCGGTGCTAGCAGCCTGCTCGATCCTGGTGTCACTCTTAGCTTCCAGTGGGTACATTCTTTCGCAGGTCCGATCTCGTTCTTGCTTTTAAGCTAGCTACTGACAGCAAAACCAACAAAGCAAGCTTACACAACATCTTGCTGACCCATATTTTCCTTTCTGACACAGAATTGGTTCACTTCTGATAGCTGTCACATTGAGTGGATTGTTGGAGGCATACACTGCACAGCTGGACAATGCCTTCATCCCCCTCGTGTTCTATAGTCTTCTGTGTCTATAGGAGTAGCCTTCTGTATATCAGACTGACCTTGAGGTCCTCTTTTTGTTTACACTTTTAGTATATATAGTGCAATATGTTATTATCTCTACATTAGTCACTTGGTATCCTAGGTGCATCAACTGCCTGATGATTCAGTTCAACAGATCACATTCTCTGTAACCCCTACCTTCGGAAGTTGAGAGGACGTGCTTGTGGTTGAGACAGTCGGTATAGGCATAGGAACAGAAGTAGAAGAACATAAAATGTTCTCCAGTCGTACAGTAGAGGGCATTTTTGGCAGAGCTGGGCAGTTGGCTGTACATAAAGTCTTATATGAACCTGTCATTGGGATGAACGAATATACATGCTGTGATGCTGATCAATTTGATCACTTGGAGCTTGTTGTGTCTCAAATAATTCCTGTGGATATTTCACACGTGTATTCAGGGCGTGGTACCTGTGTGTAAACTCTTTAAAGGGCGTACCCAGTGCAGGGAGCTCCCGCTCTGTGCGGGGTCTGGTGAAGGGTGTCAGTGGCAAGCCTTATCCTCGCCTGTGCAATGCGAGGAGACCACGACTCGAACCCGGGACCTTCCGGTCACAGACGGTAAAACTCTACCGCTTGCACCAGGTCCGCCCTTACTTTATTGAAAGGCAGAGCTCCTGCGGAAGAAAAAAAAACTATAAAGTTCACTAGCACGTCAAGATCACTTAAGGGCAAACTCTAAGGCCCTGTTTGGTTTCAAGAATTGAGAAATTAGAAAGTAACCAATAATGAAATGGGAGGCATTTTTAGATATTATTGGTTTTAATTAATTTATGGGATCCAAACACACTATAAGAGGCTCTACAAATTTAATCTATATACCTATATATATATATATATATATATATCTATTTAGAGAGCCGTCGAATAAATTTTTCTTTGTATATCTCTGGTGTCTCCAACGGACACTAATGTTTGTTCTCTATACTTCAATATAAATTATCATAATTTTCCTTATGTGGAAAAAAATATTAAAAAACTATCATATATTGCATTTAGAGAGCCATGTAATATCTCCAAAAGTGGAGAACTAAAATGGTGTTTTTGGAGTACAGAAAAGACAGAGAGTTAGAAATTCTATTGAAACATGTTTTTTCATTTGTTTTTCTAATTCTTGTAATAAATAGCCATATTGGAAGCCTCATACGGCCCGTTTGCTTCTGTGGAATCGAATTTTATTTCAAGAACTTGATACATACCCATGCGTTGCATGGGACCACATAGATTTTACCATTACAAATAACAAAATGTTAATAAATGATTTTGTATTTGAAATTTTGAACTACATTCAAATCGATTCAGCGGGGCAATGATACCTCGCTGTAATACTTGTTTCCCTTGCGTAGAAACAAGTTCCAACTAAGGTTGCGCAGCTGGTAGACGTACGACGAATTGGTGGCTTGCCGTAGTGCCTTCTTGAGCTCCAAGCAGCACGCTTCAACGCTCACCAGCTTGGTTACCAGCTCCTCAACGACGACCTCACCTCGGTAGCTTCCTGCGGTGCGGCGTCTAGCCTAGTGTGCGTTGGCTTCTATGAACTCTTTCTTGAGGGTTTCGAGAGAATGGCCAATTCTTTGTTTGTCCTTGTGACGTGTTTATTGAAAAAAAATAGATGAAAATTGAAAAGTGCCGGGTCCTGTGTACAACCCCCCTCTCTCTCTCTCTCTCTCTCTCTCTCTCTCTCTCAGGTGTAATAGATAGATTATATTCCATTTCAAATCCTAAAGTCTGGTGTGGGATTGAAGCTAGAAAATAGAGAGGGGCAGGAGAGCAGCCAAAGATCTAAACGGTCGGGTGGGTCTGATGAATCTTTGCTCCCGTTTCTTATCCTTTGAATTCGATATAGGTCTATAAAAAGATTCCAAGCCAAATCGTGCGTGAAGTGGATTCATTCTAATCAAATAAGAACCAATCGTGTTCAAGTGATCTCATCGCATATTCGCATGGATCGTCAAGATGGAAGAGATGGAAGATACACAGGATTGTTGACATGGATTAGTAGCAGGTTAGTGATTAGAATCAATCTTAAGTGTCCATTTAGGGCCCGCTCGGTTACCCTGGAGCCAGTAATAATTCCAGCTCATCAAAATCTATTTATCTATCTATACTATTAAAAGCGAAGGAATTGGATAAAATTTTATACTCATCTCCTATTAGAACCGTTAGATGATTAGTTGTCTTTAAATCCAATGACGTATATTAGTTTAATGGTGGGCCACACCTTATGTGTAAAATCTTTTACGGTTCATGCCGTTCCTGAGGGCCAAAATTTTTACAATTTAGCTATTTTTTTAAAGTTTTCCACAAATAGACTCCTGGCGGAAAGAATTCAGAAAATGGACCCTTAGCTCGGCGCCACTGATGCTGGCGCCGAGCTCCTGGGCACGGTGGATGACCTGGCAGGGAGCTCGGCGCCAGTCACTCTGGCGCCGAGGCTTTAATACCTATTGGGCCCGCGCCTTTCCTCTCTTCCTCTCTCTCGCTCGCCCTAGGATAGCCGAGCTCCGCCGCCGCCCGCGCCCTTGCCTCCACCGGCCGCCCTCGCCCGCGCCACCGCGCCCGCGCCCCAAGGCCGCCCCGCGCCGCTTCCCAGCGAACGGCCCGCGCCCCGCGGCCGCGCCCCCCCCCCGCGTCGCGCTGTTGCCCGTGGCTGGCCGCCATGCCGCGCCGCCGTCCTCGCCTTGGCCTCCACCGTCGGCTACGGCCCGCCTTGCCACCCTCCACCACCGGCCTCGCCCCGCCTTGCCGCCGTCCACCGCCGGCGTGCCTCCCGTGCCCATCGAGTCGGAGTCGCCGCGCGGAGCCCCGGGCATCCCACGTCCGCTGTCATCGGCCGCGCCACCGCCGACCCCCCCCCACCTGCAGCGGCCGGCCGTGCCACCGCCGGCCCGGATCTTCGGCCTGACCCACGCCCATCGTCCGCCGGCCCGGAAAGGTAAAAATTATGAATATGCAATGTACCTACTTAGTTGGCATTTGTTATTTACTAGTTAATGTGATGACTCAGGTAGTTGATTTAGTTACTGATCTAGTGAGATATATATATACATAGATAGAAACATAGATACATAGGTACATAGATATAGTTAGATAGCTACTTAGATATGTAGTTATATTTTTAGTTAACTCCATATGATCTAGCTATTTAGTGAGTACGCTATAAATATATATGTAGTTATTATCTTGATTACTTAGTTTGTAGTTAGAAAGTACTTGTTAGGTACTATCTATCGTCTAATTTGGACTAAAAGACATGTGTTTCATTACGTGTTTGAATTAGATGGACAACCTAGTGACCATATATCATGGAGGCACCGTTGATAGCGATCGCTATGGATATGTTGAGTTTCTTGACATGCAAAGCGTGCCTGTGCTATTCAATGATAGACCTTCATTTAGTGAGATGGTTGCAAGGGCTCGGGAGGAGCTGCATTGCCTTGAAGATGATGGCATTGCAGTTGATGGTGTACTGCACCTAGGTTCTCCTTCGAACATCTTTAGGCGAATGATCTCAATTGGTTATGCGGATCAGTAGGAGAACTATGTGAGATCCGCTATGAAGTGCCAGTTGCAATGTTTGGACGTGGTTGTGCGTCGGGTGTTAGTTGATCCCATCCCTCATGGGTTTACCCCAGCAATGGATCATCAAGCACACAACGACCCTCCCGTTCCGGAACCTTACCTGCATGTGCAGATTGCACCTACGGTTCCCGATGCTCAATATGCTCCCAATGCGGTATTTGGAGATGGGTTTACCCCAGCAATGGATACATATATTGAGGGATATAATGAAACCCTAAATGATGACGATTATTATCTTCAAAAATCTGACTAATATATACCGAATCGATGCGAAAAAAACTAGAAGGGGAGCGAGGATACCTTGCTCTCGAAGATCTACGGATCAAATCAAAGTTTCTAAGGTCCAATATGTCGATTCGTGAGGTAGGGTGAAGTGGGGAGAGAAAAAACCCGAGAGGGAGGAGAAAGAAGAGGAAGAACGCTCGGGCAGTAAGGTTGGGCCGGGGTTAAATGCAGGGAGCTCAGCGCCAAGATCTACGGCGCCGAGTTTGGCGCCAGAGTGACTGGCACCGAGCTCCCTGCCAGGTCATCCACCGTGCCCAGGAGCTCGGCGCCAGCCAGAGATGCTGGCGCCTAGCTCGGCAGTGACGCCGAGCTAAGGGTCTATTTTCTGAATTCTTTCTGTCAGGGGTCTATTTGTGAGAAATTTTTTTTAAAAAAAGAGCTCAATTGTAAAAAATTCGGTCTTGAGGGCTTCCCTCGTCGTTTTTTTTCTCACCAAATATTTCTCCTACCCACTCGGCGTACCCACGTCGCCCCTCCCAAGTCCGGACTCCTGACTAAAGATTTCGAAACGGGCCGGTTGAAACGGGCTGGCACGAGCCCGGTGCGAAAAAGCCCGGCCCTAGCCCGCCCCAGCCGTGCCCGTGCCTGGCCCGGCCCGGTGCCGTGCCCGTGTCTGGGCCGAGGAGTCGGCCCGTAGTGCCGGCCCGGGCACGGCCCGTTCCAACGGGCGGCACGGCTCAGGCACGGCTCTGGGGCACCGGCGGGGCTGCGATATATAAGCCACCCGCCGCGGCCACCCCCCACCATCCAAACCCTAGCTCATTTCGCCTGCTCTCGTCTCCCTCGCGCTGCTCTCGTCTCACTCGTCGCTCTCGCACGCTGTCGTCTCGCTCCTCGCTCTCGCCCGTTCGCCTGATCGTCGCCTCATTCCCCTGCTCCGCCGTGTCCATGGCGTTCTCCGGCGGGTAAGGGGTCAGATCCGGTGGGTTCTGTCCTCAATCTCCCTGCTTTCCCTCTCTGCCCTCAATCTCCCTCTTCTCTCTCAGATCTGGTGGTTCCCGCCTTCAACCTCCATCTGTTCCCTTGTTCTTCGTCCCTGAAAGTCGATTGAGACTCGTTCTTAGCATCCTCGACGCATCTCCATCTTCTGTCCGTCGTTCTCATCGCC